ATTGTAATTAAACAATAATCTGCAAGGTGGGTTAAAGACAGAGTAACGTGGGTCTTCCGGAAACCGTGAGAGTCCTGTATGTACATTTTATCATAAAGCAGGGCATGGTTTGCAGGTAATGGAGCTTGCAAGGTATAATCATGCGTTCAAGTGACTCAGCAATGTTCTGAACAAATGACAGCATGCTCCATCACTTTCCTGATTATTTGCTCAAACTAATTATGCATAAAGTGGCCGTTACTCAACGACACGAGCTGCTTTATACAGCCCTCCCCTTCTAAATGAATCCACCCACACTAGCATGTCTCATGAGTATATTACAATATTTTTAAATTAACCATAGTTTCCCAAGCCCTGCCTCTCTAGGTATGTATAAATAGGGGCTTTCTTTCTCAGAATGAGAAAATAATTTTGCCTCTTTATAAATCACTGATAAGACAAGTGTCTAACAATTGAATAAATACTTGCAAACACATAATATACAGGGATATATTTTTTTATTAGTGGGTTAATAGCCTTTTGATCCAAGGAGTTATGTTACTACTATTCTGGGGTCAAGAATGATTTTTCTTTTCTTTTTTTTTTTTTTCTAGTTTGTTGCAAGATACAGGTGTTTGGTTTTATTTTTTGTTATCCAGTCCTGCAAAATCTTGGAGGAAGATTAATTGTATAAAAGTGCAAGTTTAAGATTTTAGTTTGAAGTCCTCATGAGATTAGAACAGACATGCTGTCTTAGTCCTGGCTAGATTTCATTCACATTCAAATGTCAACCGAGGTGAAGTTTCACAGTGAATTCTGAACACACAGATCTTCTTCCAAGCATTGTTTATGCTGTCCCTACATGGCCTGTACATGGGCAATGAGTTTGCATATTTCATTAATATTTCTTAATTAGACATTTAGTAAGACCAAAGCTATTTTTACCTAATGATACAGCTGGAACAGAGGGCAAATGAGTTTAACAGCTATTATCACAGAATGAAACATTGAGAATTTTGTCGTACTTCTTTTCCCAGTTTTTAGATCTATGTATCTATAGAAGACCCATTAAAAGGGGTTGACATTAATGGGGTGACTTGGGATGTAACTGATTGGGTGAAAAACTGTCTTGCTTCGTCTGTTCTCTTCCAGTTGTATCAAAGATAATTTTTTTTTTTTTATAATCGTAGGAGTCACTTTTTGGGTGTACAGACAATTTGTGAATCAGTGACTTCGTCTGTCTTTTGGCTTTCATTTTATTTTGAACCCTTTAACTAGCAGATAGTGTTTTTTAACATTTGGATTGCATAGCTGCAAAGAAATACATTCACTTATTAAAAGCACACTTCTTGTTTAATAATGTAATTTTGTTTTCCTTGTAATAGTTTTCTATGTGAATTCACATTTTATTAAATTTAAATACATTAAAATTGTCTCCCTTTTTTTTTGTAGACGGAGTGTGATTGAAGCAGTTTACAACAAACTGAATCCATATAGAAATGATGATACTGTGAGTATAACCCTGAACATATTTTTTCTTTCTAAGATAATTTATTAGGCTTAAATTTCCACTTGCTATTGGCAATTAAAAAGTTAGTCCTGGCAAGTAGAAATTCACCGCTGGTGAGTGTGCCATTGACGCTTCTGGCTTGCAGTTTCTAGAAACGTTCAAGTCTCGACTAGTAGTGTAGGACTTGAGATTTTAAGCCCAGAATATGTGAAATGAACAGTGTACTAAGTGGAATATCTGCGCTGCCCATTCATTGTTTCTTACAGGTTTGTTCATTAAACTCAGAATTTTAGTCAATTGAAATCCAAAAAGAATAAAGCTAAAATGTTATTTTCGGAGTTCACATTTCACTGTACGTTTTGCCTACTGGCTTATACTTTCTTGCATTTCGAGGTTATGGAACAAACCCTTTAGTGTTTCATTTTCATTTTAAATGTTTATTTTCTTTATTATTTGAGTGCCTGAGAGGAGACAGTTGCTGTGTCACATTGCTGTCTGAGAAAGGTGGTTGAAGTGATCTTTTTGAAGAGTTAGTCTGCAGTGTCAAATTGCCACCTAACAGTGTACCTCAGTATTGTGTGTGAGGACAATGAATCTATGCCATATACAACAGCTATGTAAGAAAACATTGGTGTGTAGTAGCAAAACAAATATAGCATGTTGGTCCGTCCAAATCTAGTTCTCCATACCAATGGCAATCTGCCCTACAGGATTCACTATTCCTTTGTTTTATTAATGGCTGTTAAGCTAAAAACGTAGCCTCTATAAATATTTTAATGGCTTTCATATCATGATGCATTAGACGTGCAATTTATCTTGCTTAAGTGGGTGCATGTATCGTAATCTGCATATTGCTCCGATAATGAGTCAACGCTTTTGTGCACCTTTAAAGTTACCATTAAAAGGATAGCTGCACAGAGTTGACTGTCTTTGCTATGTGTTTGAGAAATATACATTATAGCTTAGTTCTTAAGAAAAGTGGGCCTAAGGACCGGGCCTTAATTGAGGTGTCTGACAAGGTCATCTTCAGGTACGTGAATAGATCATGTTGGTAAAGCACCAACAAATGGACTGCTTATTTGTCTCTTCTCTGAAGTTTGTATTTAAACCTCTACATGTGACAATGCAGTTATAAGCTAATTGTGGTGGTTAGTACAATATAGATGAGGAATTGGGTGCTTTAAAGTGCTGCTGTATTTGCATTTTGTAAACTTTGTTTTATGAAACTTAATCCTTTTTCTTATCTTCTCCCTTATTAAAAAAGGATTCTGCTTCAACCGATGATATGTGGTAAATCTGTCGATTAAACATGGAGTTTACATCCATCCTCCAAATGAAAAACACAGCCCAACCTCAGTGGTCCTTCTTAGCACCCATCCTCAACACTCATTTAAAGAAGGGAACGATGTGGGTGACACCAGGGTATCCCAGCAGTTCAACTGGCAGAGAATCAGATTGGCTTTCCTCATATTTCTTTCTCTATCACTTCCTCACTTTATATATTTTCTTTGTAAAATTTGAAATTTCTGTAAACGTACTTTCAAACAATAATTCACATTGTAAATCAGACTCCAGCAATTTCTGTTGTATGATTTAATTATTATTCTTTTTTTTGTAAAGTGCAATTGTCCTTGTACAAAATGGTCATATTTAATTATGGACTGCAAATTTCTCCTAAAGGTTACAGGAAGTCTGGCTTGTTGTCATGCAAACAATAATCTAACCCTATACTTTCATGTGGCGGTTTTAGATATGAAATGCAGCAGCAACATAACCCCCAAGGCCTCTATGGAATTGTTAATAAGATTGTAACTTTAATGTACAGGTGTTTGTTATTTTTGTGTTTTTTCCACCCTCTTTTCCCAAACATTGAATAACCTGCAATGATCTTAAATTTATTTTAATTTTCACATAGTGGTGATTTAGAGAATATTGGGGCATCTGATGAGCAATGTCAGCTGACCACACAGTCACTGCCCTATTGGACACTCATAGGGAGTGCATTTTTCACTGCTTCAATGTGTAAGGGGTTAAGAACAAATGGGTACCCAAGATTTAACCTTATTTACTAATCATTTGTGTGGAGAGATTTATTATCATTTTTTTTTTCTTTTTAATAAAAAATAAAAAAAACTACACTGGCTGGGTCTGTTGCTGCTACAGAGTTTTGAATACCATTTTACCAATAAAGCTTGATTTGAGAAACAAATCTAATGCTAAAGTAGTAATTTCTGCTTTGTACTTTTTTTTTATCGTAGTATTATAAAACGTCACTTTTGTATATTTTACTACACAGTGGAAACCCATATCTCAAATGGGTATGGACCAGTTATATTTCCCCCTCAATTTGACAATGTGTTTAGAGAGAGGAAAAAGAGCAACTTTACTATATTTAAAAGGGATGTTTCGGGCTTCGTGTGTAGCTTGAAATTTGCCTGTTTGTAAAAAAAAAAAAAATATATATATACATATATTTTTTTTTTTTCCCCCCAATCCTGACAATCTAACACTTTATGTATATTTTCCACTTGACCAATTTATTACATAGGACAAGTTAGTGATGAAACAATATTTGTGAATCCAAATGTATAGCATGTTAACAGTGTTTAATTACTGGGGTTTTGAAAGCCTGATTTAGAATCTTGAATATGGAAGTGACAAAGAATTTTGTTTTCCCCTAAAAACCAAAATCTGAATGTTTCCATATAAGCTTTGTTGACAAAACTACTGTGCGTGCACTGTTTGTCTTCATGTAAGATGTTGTATTTGTATTGATATGTGGTTAATCATTTAAAAAAAAAAAAAGTCTCCCACCATTTGGTAGTTTGAATTCCTTCTGTTTTTATTCCAGCATGTCTAACAAATTTGAAGACTATTGGGGCCCAAATGATTCTAAACCAGTTGATTTACCATCTTACTCTGTTTTGTTTTTAAACAAAACAGTATAGGAAAGACTGTTTGTTTGTAATTGGAGGTTTACATTTAACCCATGTTGAGATTAAAAATGTTTGTTTTCCTTCAATCTAGTACTTTACAAGCTGATTACTTTTCAAAGATCAAAATGTTTTGTTATTTTGGTCATGGTTGGGAGGGGTTTTACTTAAATGATGTGATGGGTTGATGGAAGTTTCAGAAGTTATGCAGTAAAGTTCAAATCTGGCTGTTTTTTCGACTCTTCTTTAAAGCTAAATTTTGCAGGTTCTTTGTTAATTCTCAAGAAGTCACTATTAAACCCTTTTGGACATATTTTTTTTTTTTTGTATTTATTTTTATTTTTTTCGTTTCCCCTTGGCTATTTTTGTCACCACCATACTTTAAAGTCATAGCTGGTACTTGTTTTCAATAAATAAAGTTCTCCTTTATAGTTTTAAATCTAAAACATGTTTGTTTCTCTTGGTTTTTGACATTTTCTGGAGAAGGCAGCCTTTAAACCCCCACGAGGGGCAGCTGCCACAAACCCCAAACATTGCCTTCCTTATAATTGTACGAAATAGATCTGAAATGCAGTAAATTGCTTTCTGAAGATGACAATAGGATTCTTGTGTGACTGCAACTTTTAAAAGTAATTTGCAAGAGCACTTCTGTTATACATCTATTTGGTGATAAATCAGACCATTTTAAAACCGTGGAGCTTAAAGCGATCTCACTTTTTAGTATTTCATAAAGATATTCAATTAAATATCAACGCAATCCAAAGATTCCATATGAAAAAGTAAGGGGCTACTTTGTCTTATGGTAAAGCCTTGGGTTGACAGAAGGCTGGGCTCAGCCATCAATCCCAGAAGCTGTCAGAAATGACTTTTGTGGGATTAAGGATCTGTCTATGGAGGATCCCGCAAGATCCTCTCTAGACAACACATGCGCAAGAGTACAGCACTGATATGGGTCCTGGCAACTGAAGCGCCAGGTGCCTGCAAAAAAGCAGCAGTTGCAGGTAAAACTCCAATTCTCCCTGCACTCAGTGTATGATAGAGGTAATGTATGGTAGAGGCATGCTTTCTAGTAAATGCAGACTTATTTTAGACAAGGAAGAATGAGTGGAATGGTGTTTTACAGACTTTATTACATAATACAATTGCATTTCAAGGGACCTCCACGCTAAAGTAATTTGTTTAAATATAACAAAACAGTCCTATCTATTTGCATTTCTCTTGATGTGGACCTATTGTTAAAAGTACACCACCATCACTTATGCAACACCACTCTAATTTATGATAGCTAATGTGTAGTTTATAGGGACCTGACATGCCGCAAACAATTTATGCTCATTAATTGAGCATAATCTATCTATACATTGTGAGATTAGGTCAGTGCTGAGGCATAGTCTGACATGGGAGAGGAGAAACTACCTCCCACAGGAGGTCCCTCTGTTCTCCACACATAGTAACCACTGTGCATGCACTGTGGTTGCTATGGAAACTCCAAAGCACCAGCTAGGTGACATCACTTTGTTATAGTAACAAATGTCATTCCATTCAGAAGCTGGCAACATCACTTAGATTTGCACTGGGCAAATCAAAAAACAGTCCAGGAGGAGTGGAGAATAGCCTGTAGGTAAGTGTGAAGCGGCGCTGGAACAGAGGAAGAGGGAGTAAATCAATATCTTACATTTAATAAAACATGTTTCTTTGTGATATACAGTGTATTAAATGTACATGGGAGCAATTTCTGGTAAGTGAAATTTTTCATTACAGGTTCACTTCAAATGTTACTAATTCTGCTTTGCAGTCTCTCAAATATTGACTCCATGGACTGTAGTCCTGTGGTGGCATCCAAGAGTTGTAGATGCAAAAAAAAATAAAAAAAATTTGCTTTTATTTGTAATTTCACCAGCAAAATGTATAAATGAAATCGTTCAGTGTATACCTTACTGGAGGTGACCATGTCAACTACAAATTTTATGGAATACCAATCTATTTTAAAAACCTGAAGTATGATTGGCAGCAGCTGTGGTGCATGATTTTAAAGATCTGAAGCACCAACATTTATTAGAAAATTACAAGAAACAGATGTGGTTTTGAAACCAGGCAAGCATAAAACTGTACAAAAAAAAGCTAGAATGAAAAAAAAAATCTTTCCATCACACAATGTTTCATGCACATTACGTGCTGTGCAATTTTCTCAAGTATTTGTTTTAGATGTATTAAGTAACAATCTCATGAAAGCAATGAAATGAAAAAAAAAATGGTCACCTTAAAAGTGATGTCTGACATTACACCTGATACCATATTGGTCTGATTTTGTAAATCTCTTGGGCATGTAAACTAGATGCATTAAGACAACGGATTACATCACTGCCCCCTCCCATGGACTACTTGATGTAGCCTGCGTATGTTTCAGGAAAATTGTCTTGTTTCTATAAGTAATTTCCTTATACCAAAGTGTAGTTTGTGTGGCACCCTAATTAGACGCCTATAAGAGGACGCAATGCGTTGATGTCCTTTTGCCATGTTTTAACCCCTTAAGGAAAGTGGGCATACTATGCTGTCCTTGGGGACCCGGTCCTAAACGCCAGCAGGGCTGCATAGTACGTCCCCGCCGTCCTATGTATTTACCTGCTCGATGGGGGAGAGGGGGGGGGACTTGTCTGGCATCCCAGGGAGTCCCCCCTGCTGCTGATCTGGCCCTCCCGAGCCATGTGATCACAATGAGGTCACAATCACATGGATGGAATAGCCGTCCACAGCAGTGCCTGCAGGGGGCCTGCATGGAATGACAGGCAGTCCCCTTGCTGCCTGTAGAAAAGTTTAAAAACAGTGTAAAAGTAAATTTATATATACTTAGATCAGATCTATGTTTTAAATATGATCTAAGTGTGTGTGTGTATATATAATGGGAAAAAAAGCCTTGCACTCCTACTTAGTTATTTGACCCGGTGCTTGATTACACTAAATGTATGAAAGAAAGAAAATCAGCACTCCCAGGTAGCTTTCTTAAATGAAAAGTGCAACAGTCAATGTTTCAGTTCCATTCAGCAGGAACTTTCATCAGGACAACAATTGTTTCAGTTCCATTCAGCAGGAACTTTCATCAGGACAACAATTGATGTGCTAGTCTCTAAGTGTATTTTAATATATATTAAAATAAACAGATTAATTTTACATATAATTATATATATAAATTATAATACGTGTGTAATTTTGTTCTAACTGTATTTTGATATTAAAAAATATCTATCAAAAAGAACAAAAATATATATCTATTATTAAATAAAAAACTGTTTTACTTTGTAGTCTTCGCTGAACACAAATTAGTGTTTCAAAACCGTAAAACATATCACAACGATGATCTCATCAGTGAAAGTGCCATTTTTTGCCCCCCATGTACAGGTTTTATGGTGTTTTCAAAAGTTACTGAGTCAAATATAAGGCTTGAATTTCTTTCTTTTTTTTTTTTTCCCACATTGAAATTTGCCCGATAGGTTATGTTGCCTTTGAGACCGTATCGTAACCCAGGACTGATCATTTCCACCATGATGGCATACCATTTGCAAAAGTAGAAAACCCAAGGTATTGCAAGTAGCCACTTAGTCACAAACACTGGCCAAAATTAGCGTTCAATTTCGTTTTTTTGCATTTTTCACACAAATATGAACACAAACTTTGGCAAGTGTTTGTGACTAAGTGGCTACTAGAAAAGACTGGAAATACCCCATTTGTCATACCTTGGGTTGTCTACTTTTGCAAATGGTATGCCATCATGGGGGTAATTTTCATTTCTGGGCTACCATTTGGTCTCAAAGGCAACATAACCAGTCTGGCAAATTTCAATGTGTATGAACTGAAAAATGTAATGTGCTATATTTTGCCCTGTAATTTTCCAAAACACTATAAAACATGTACATTGGGGGTACTGTTTTATCCGCGAGACATCATTGAATACAAATATGTGTACTTAATTGCAGTAACAGCTAACCGTATTGTGACATTCACAGTTAAAGTGCCATGCTGAACTCAAAATATATTTTCTCATTTCAAATTATCTTTAATATACAAATATTTGATGTGACATGAAAGCCCTATTTCTCCTGAACAAAATTATATATGGTGAATTATGCCTGAACAGACATATATAGTGCAAATTCAAGGTTTTGTTTTGATTGCAACTTGTACAATTGGCTCTGTCCTTAAGGGGTTAAAGAAAGGCTGTTTTACACGGTTTGATTCTGATTGAGAAAACTTTGTCTAATGCACATTGAGGCTAAATAAGGGAACCAGCCCCGGTTACAGCTGGGCTTTACAAATGTCCATATATCAGCAGTGCTTCAATACAAAAACAAAAAATGGCCTGGAGTAGGAGAAATTATCCAATGGCTCCTGGAATACAAAGAGAATTGTCCAGGAAGGTACATTTACGTTATGATAGACATTGCTTTTAAACAGAACTGAAATTCATGTTAAAAGGAGCAGCCTCAATTTCCTGCTTACAGAACCTCTCTGAAAGTGACTGTTCCTTAAAGGGACACTATAGGGTGGCAGAGGGAGCTATAGTGCCAGGAATACCACTTTGTATTCCTGTCACTTATAATATCAGTTAATGCTCATTCCTTAAATTGCTACATTTGTGTAAGGAAGCCAGAGAAAGTTACTGGAAAACTTTAACACTGCAGTACTAATCAGGTGAGGATATTATTGATGCTCTGGAATGTAAGCATGCTCGGTTTGTGAAGCTTTCCATCCCAATGCTCATTCACATGCAGGGGAGATAATGTAACTTCTATATTCTGGCTCTAAATTGCTCTTCTACTATCATCTGTGCCATATATCTATTAAAGAAATTACCTGTTTTACTTAAGTATGATTTGATTATATAATGAATCTTCACCCCTTAAATGATGATATGACTATGCCATTGGTAGGAATGCAATTAGAGCGGACCATTACATAATTTAGTGAACATTTGAAGTGCAACTTACAGGGTAAATGGATTAACGGCCTTGGTAGCAGTGTAGTTTGTTTCCATGGTTGGCTAAATGACAAGTAGCAAATATTTCATAAAAATCTTAAAATGTGCACATACTGGAAGTTAATATAATCATTAATGAAAAATTCAGAAATTATGATTTGTCTTCCACATGTAAATTTTTTTAAATTTTATATTAAAGGGATACACAGCCTGGCTCTCTGTTTAATAGACCAGGCTGTCTTGCTATTGGTAGAGACAATGACCTTGCATGTACAATCTGCTCCCACGGCTTTTGCTGTGTCTTTCACCATCACCTGTCTGTGTTGAGCATGCTGGCAAGAGATCCATGATTAAAGTAACACTATAGGAACCCAGATCACTTCTTCTCAGTCAAGTGGTCTCAGAACCAAGCCTAAAGCCGCACTAACCTCCCAATGCTGCCATATGAGAAAGCGTTGGATTGACGGAGATAGTCACAATTAATGATCTCAGAAGAAGCGGCAGACCTACACGGAGGAGACTTGCACAGCAAGGGTTGAAATTAAGTAAATTATTTTTATGTATGTATGTATGCACTGGTCTAGTCACCTAAACGGTGAGTAGGGCACTGTAGGGGTAGGAATGCAAATTTGTATTCCTAGCACTATAGTGTTCCTTTAATGGAAAGACAAACTGGAGAGAACCATTTCATATGATTGGATTATAAAACATAATAATAATACAAGAGACATCATAGTCCACGTATTGGGTGAAAACCTAAACAATTATGGTTAATGAAAAACACATTTCCCCCCCCCAAAAAAAAATATTTTTATGTTAGTGAACCATTTTATTTTCAAAGTTGTGACCTAATTGTATTCATTTGTTAATTTATATAACATATAAAACCTTCAGCATGGTCCGTTATTTTATGTTGCTTGCTATATCCTTTACAGATAGGCATACCCCATATATCTCCTGCACCCTTCTCCATGCCCACCCTGGTTTGTGGCCTTGCGTCTTGGGTATGCTTCATCCCAGTAGTGACTGTATCGTTGTGGACCATAATCATATTGAAGTGAAATAAAATGTATGCTTACCTTATAAAGTCACTTTCATAGATTTGGCCTTCTGTGGTGTTAGTGTGCTTGTGTCTGCTTAGATTCTTTGAACAACACTACTTTTACCAGTATCTGATCTTTGACATCCTTTTGTAGAACTTACTTTAAGTCCTCACAATCCTGCCAAAGAGAAGTCAGTGACTCTTTAACACTGAAAAACTAAGCAGATTCATAAAACTCCTTGAAAAATGCTTTTCTGTCATATACCTTGAAGCATTTTTATTTTCATGTATGCATTTGTTTTGGACAAAATTTGTAAATATTTTTTTGTAAGGATCACAGATTCACAATCTAATTCAAATAGTGTCTCAATGTCAATTCACTTATTATGGTGGGTTACCTCCCGTACAAGGTTCATTCGGTATACCATCCAGTACATCTTTTTTTTTTGTAAATATAATTTTTTTTTCTTTCAGTTTATCGAGTACAGGGATGGGTCACGTTTGGCTTCGGGACTCGCAGGTACGCCACATATAAATGATATAGGAGAATGGCAGTTGTTAATGTATACATTACGGTGTGGACATGCAGGCCCTCGGTGTTTATAGGACACGCAGGTCCCGCATGCATGAACCCTTTAATTGTTGTGGGGGTACCGTGTCGGTTTCAAAGTATATCTTATTGGGCA